GAGAAGGGAGATGACCTCTGCTCACAAGATCCGGGAGGGTCTTTGCAGATGGGAGCCGGCAAGGAGGAGAAAAGCCTTGCAGGGCAGAGATCACGGAACACCTCAGGCTCTGCATAGGTTCTCAGAATATGGAGTGATTTTAATTACTTTATGTCATCAATGCTCAGGAGATAAAAGCTCCTTCATGTACTGGGTGTGGTCAGACCTGGTGGCTCCTAATCCGGTATACTTCTGATGCAGCTGCACCCTGATAACAATAGGTGATAGAGTACTAGTTTAGCATGTCTTAGAAGGATCTCAAGTGCTATTAAATGCTCAGAGCACTAGTTTAGCATGTCTTAGAAGGATTTCAAGTGCTCCCTCCCACCCCATCTTACCTACCCCTTCACCCTCCACCTTCCACACCCATAAGATCAATGAGATCATGCACACAATAAAAGTGTTTGGAGCCCAGAGCTCGGGGCCAACAGGTTCCCACCCTTGCATTGGTCCCCTGGACCCATGCTGTAACTTCTCTTGTGTCCCTGTCATTATTTCCTTTTCTCAATCCCTCGTCACTGCTGGGACTAAGGGCACCCACTTACAGGGTTGGGGCTGGTACCCAACAGCAACTGGCCTTTTTTTTTTTTTTTTTTTTTGAGATGGAGTCTCCCCAGATGGTAAGAAATAATAATCTTTCCCCTCCCAGATAAAGCTGTGGCCTAGTAAGGAGTGGGAGCTCCCGTCACAGCCCAGCAATTAATGAAGAGCCTCTTCTCCCACTGGCTTGCCAACAGAAGCCAAGGAGGAGTACCTGGCAATAATGCGGTGGTGCTCAGGGACCCATGGGACTACAATAAAAAGTCTATGTGTCTTGTTATTAGTGTCCCCCAGAAGGGGAGGAGAAAGAGAGCAGAGCTGAAAAGTATTTGATAAAATAATAGCAAAAAAGCTTCTAAATTTGTTAAAAAACAAAACAAAAACAAAAACTCAGCAATTCCCAAACTAAAAGCAATAAACACACAAATTTATGATGCTGATCCAACCTCAAAACATAATTTTTTAAGTTTTTTTTTTTTTTTTTTTTCTCAAGAAACAGGATCTTGCTCTGTTGCCCAGGCTGGAGTGCAATGGCACAATCCTAGCTCACTGCAGCTTCAAACCCCTGTGCTCAAGCAATCTTCCTGTCTCAATCTCCCAAGCAGGTGAGACTACAGGTATGTATCACAATGCCTGGGTAATTTTTATTTTAGTGTTTAGAGGTGGGGTATCTCTATGATGCACAGGCTGGTCTCAAACTCCTCGCCTCAAGCGATCTTCCCACCTCAACCTCCCAAGTGTCTGGGATTACAGGCATAAGCCCACTCAAACATGTTAAACCCAAAGAAATTCACATTAAGACAAACTATAGCTGAACTTATAAAAACTAAAGACAAAGGAGAGACAAACAACATCTTACCTATAGGGGAAAACGATTCAAATGATAAAGGATTTTTCATTAAAAAGAAATGTGTCAGAATAAACCAAACCTGCTGAAACCCTGGTCTCAGGCTTCTAGCCTCCAGAACTGTGAGAAAATAAGTTTGCTGTTTAAGCCACCCAGTCAAATGGTATTTTATTATATATAGCAGCCCTATCAAACTAGTATAGAGGGCAAACTCCACAACCTAATAAAAAAATATATAAAAAACATACAGCTATCATTTAACTTAACAATGAAAGGTTTAATGCTTTTCCCCTAAAATTGGGAACAAGGCAAGAAGATCTGCCGTCACCACTCTTACTCAACATAGTCTTGGAAGTTCTAGTCAGGGCAATAAGGCGAAAAGGTACTAAAAAGTACACATATCAGGAAGGAGAATATAAACCATTTCTATTTGCACCAAATCTTAAAAACAAATCTACAGGGTTGGGCACAGTGACTCACATCTGTAATCCCAGCACTTTGGGAGACTGAGACGGGCAGATCACAAGGTCAGAAGTTCGAGACCATCCTGGCCAACATGGTGAAACCCAATTTCTACTAAAAATACGAAAACTAACCAGGCGTGGTGCGGGCACCTGTAATGCCAGCTACTTGGGAAGCTAAGGCAGGAGAATCACTTGAACCCTGGAGGCAGAGGTTGCAGTGAGCTGAGATCGTGTCACTGCGCTCCATCCCGGGCGACAGTGAGAGACCTGTCTCAAAAAACAAAAGCAACCAAAAAAAAAAAAAAACCCCAAAAATAAAAAATAAATAAAAAATAAAAAAAACAAATCTGCCAAAAAAGCTCTCTTAGAACTGACTTCAACAAGGTGGCAGAATACAAGATAATCAGGGTGGGGTACGGTGGCTCACGCCTATAATCCCAGCACTTTGGGAGGCCCAGGTGGGTGGATCACCTGAGGTCAGCAGTTTAGGACCAGCCTGGCCAACATGGTGAAACCCTGTCTCTACTAAAAATACAAAAACTAGCCAAGTGTGGTGGTGGGTGCCTGTTGTCCCAGCTACTTGGGAGGCTGAGGCAGGAGAATTGCTTGAACCCGGGAGGTGGAGGTTGCAGTGAGCTGAGATTGTGCACTGCACTCCAGCCTGGGTGACAGAGCAAGACTTCATCTCAAAAACAAAAACAAAACAAAACAAAAATATAATCAATTGTATATCTGTATAATAGCAATGAACATGTGGACAATAAAAGTTTAAAATATAATATCACTTACAATTGCTTAAAAAAATTAAAAACTGCAAATTAAAGATCTAAATAAATCAAGAGACATACTGTGTTCATGGATTGGAAGACTCAATATTGTAAAGATGTCAACTCTCTGCAAATTGATATGCATATTTAATATAATTCCTAAAATCTCAACAAGATTTTAAATTTAGAGAATATTACTCTAAATTTTATATGGAAAGGCAAAGGAACCTGAAAAACTAGAGCAATTTTGAAAAAGAAGAATGAAGTGGGAGGAATCAGTCTGTATGATTTGAAGACTTATTATACGTAATCAAGACTTTGAGGTATTGGTGGAGGGGGAGACACCTCAATCAATGGAATATAATTGAGATCCCTAAAACAGAGCCACACAAATATACTCAAATAATTTTTGTCAAAAGTGCAAAAGCAATTCAATGGAGAAAGGACAGTCTTTTAAACTAATGGTTCTTAGAACAGTTGGACATCCACATGTAAAAAATAGAACCTCACCCTATGCCTCACACCTTATACAAAATAAACTGAAAATAAACCACAGACTTAAATGTAAAATCAAAACTATACAATCTTTTAGAAAAAAACGTAGGAATAAATCTTTGGGATCTATAGGTAGATATAGAGTTCTTAGACTTGACACCAAAAACACAATCCATAAAAGGAAAATTGATAAATTTGACCTCATTGAAATTAAAAATGCTTGCTCATTGAAAGAGAGGATGAAAAGTTATAGATTTGGAGAAAATATTCACAAATCACATATTTAATAAAGAATCAGAATCTCACAACTCAACTGTAAAAACAATAGCAACTGTCCTTATGATCTCTTATAAAAAAAGAGAAACTAGGTAAAGACATGAGCAAAAATTTTTACCAGGGAGGACACATATACATATGGCAAATAAGCACATGAAGGTATGTTCAACATCATTAGCCATTAGGAAAACACAAATCTTAAAAAACTTTATATTAGTACACACTTATCAGAGTAACTAAAATAAAAAAGTGACACCATCGAATTCTGGTGAGGATGCAGAGAAATTGGATCACACATATATTGTTAGTAGGAATGTAAAAATAGTAGAGCTACTCTGGAAAACAATTCAGCGGTTTTGAGAAAAACTAAAGATAAATTACTACAAATTCTAGCAATTTCACTCTGGGCATTTATTCCAGAGAAGTGAAAACTTGTGTTCACATAAAAACCTGCATTACTTACGACTGTTCATAGCAGCTTTATTCATGATTGCTCAAAACTGAAACAATCCAGATGTTACTCAACAGGTGAATGGTTAAACTGTGGTACATCTATACCATGAAATACTACTCAGCAATAGAAAGGAATGAATTATTGACACATTCAACAACTTGGATTACGCCAGAGAATTATGCCGAGTTCAAAATGTCAGTCTCAAGGTTATATATTATATGATTCCACTTGTATAACATTCTTGAAATGACAAAATCAGAAATAGAGAACAGATTAAATGATCACCAGGGGTTAAGGACAGGGAGTGAGGAGTGAGGTGGGGTAGGAGGAAAGTAGGTGTGGTTATAAAAGGGCAACACAGTCATCCTTCTGATGATGGAAATGTTTGTATCTTGACTATTAATATCAAGTACTGGTTGTGATATTGTACTATAGTTTTGTAAGATGTTACAGATGGAGGATGTTGGTAAAGGATACATGGGATCTATTTTTTTTTTTTTAACAAATGCATGCATTTCTACAATTATCTAGAAACTAAAAGTTTAATTTTAAAAAAAAGAACAAACTCACAAATCATACTACTTATTTATTGAACACCTGTTGTATGGCAAGGCCCTATTTAAGGTAATCTCATGAATGTTATTTATTTAATTTTCATGAACTCCTAAAGATTATGCCCATTTCCCAAATACTCTTTCATGAAATACTAATTTTTTATAAAATTAATTGCCTTCCTGGAGAGGTATTATGTAAAAGGAATTCCCCAGTCAAGTAGGTTTAAGAAAGACAAAAACAATTTGTTTTTAACTGTAGGATTTTTAAGGTCTCTAATATCTAATGAACTTTATAAATATTCAAAATGAGGACATTACAGACAGCTTTCTTTAATCTTCCCGCATGTCTTTTATTTTGGAAACCTAGTTTTCACATGATGCTCATTAACAATTTGTCTGAAGACCCAGTATTCCTTATAATATAACAATAAATGTTGGGTTATAGTTTTCTACCAACATCTCTACTGAAGTGAACTTTTATGTGTTATTTCAATTTAGTCTATAGATTTACTGTTATAGTCTGAATATACTTCAATCATAGTGCAGATGATCCAAACTACTTACCATGTAACAATATAAATAGATCGAAGTACTAATGTAAAGACCAACATTCCATACATGACCTAAATAGGAAAGGAAAATGTGGTTAGTACAATCGTTATTCTTTGGCAAAGGAAGTCTATTTTTCCTACCAAAATAGCCTTTCCAATTAAATGTAAATATTTATCCTTCATTACATTTTAAAGAATAGAATTTTTAAAATGTGTTAAATCACTAAGTCATGCTAACTTCTGAGGAAAAGAGCCCGCTTAATTTTATTAAATAACCAATTAAATAACCAATATCAGAAGTCCTATATCAATTTTAACTCTGAATGGATCCATGAAATTTTAAATATCTGCTGAAACCTGAACAAATGCTGTAACTTTGCTTCATATTCTCAAGCTCCCCACTTCTCTTTAGCTTTGCTTTCAGCACAAATACAGTATTTGTGCTTCCCATTTTACAATAGCATAAACCTGAATTCTTTAAACTCTTCTAAATGCCTCTGCATTTATATGCATCCGCCCCTGGCATTCTTTCTCATCTCTAGGCTCCGTGGCATTCTTTCTCATCTCTAGTCTCTGAAAAAAGAGGTGCCCATTTCTTGACCCAGGTTAATCTATTTTCCTGTGTTCTTTTTTCTATATGTTCCCACATCTTCCTAGCATTGGCTCTTCTTTCTCTTCTGTATTAAGCATTAGGTGAGTATTAGTACCTGGAAAATGGAACCTAGTGGGAAAATATGATTTAGCAAATACATATAAAACCAGTAGTTGAGAAAGCACCATCCAGGCCAAGAAATAAATGCTTGTTAACACCCTAGAACTGCTTCATGTGTGTCTTCCCAGTCCAACCCTCTCCCTTTCTTCTTAGAGTAAACCACTCTTCTGATTTGTATAATAAACATTTTCTTGCTTTTATTTATATAATTACTAACTTAGAGTAGTCATCTACATATGCATTCCTAAGTAATAATACTGTTTGCTTTTGAGTTAAAACAGAATTTTGATTAAATTTTATTTTATTATTTTTTTTGAGGCAGGGTCTTTTGTCGCCTAGGCTGGAGTGCAGTGGCATGATCATATCTCAATGCAGCCTTGATCTCCCGGGCTCAAGCCATCCTCCTGCCTCAGCCTCCAAAGTAGCTGGGACTACAGGTGTGTGCAACCACATCCTGGTTAATTTTTTTTCTTTTTAGTATAGACAGATCTCACTGTGTTGCCCAGGCTGGTCTCAACCTTATGTGGATGAGAGTACAAAAGAAGCTGTGTATGTGAATAGCTCTGGGTCTTCTGATGAGATGAAGATGCTACATCTGCTATAACTCTCATCTCGTGTCCTTCTATAAAGCTAAGGAAACACAGTATTAGATTAAAGCTTATTAGAGTCTCATTGCCAGCTTAAATCCATAACCACAGCTATACTGCTACAAATGGTGAACAAGAAAGGCATAATCCCTATACTCACAGCAATTACAATCTAGTAAAGAGAGAGATAAGTAACCAGACAATTATAGTATTATAATTTTATGGCAGGAACTGTACAGAGTACTTTGTAAACACATAGGAAGGGCACCTAATCCAGACTTACACAGTTTAGAAAGTCTTGCTGGAGGATATGGTATTTAAAATTTTATACCTGAAGCTCATGTAGCAGTTAGTTACTTTAAAAGAACATGGAAGAGAGTTGTTGACATAGCTTATATACTAGAGACAAGAAGGAAAAAAAGATCCTTATAGTATATTGTTGGAATATAGAATAGGAAAAATGGAGTCAGAGACCAGAGGTCAAATCTGGCCTTTCAAGTCATGTTAAGGAACTGGACTTTATATATAAGTAACAAAGGCCAGGTGTGGTAGCTCACACCTGTAATCCCAGCACTTTGGGAGGCCGAGGCCAGTTGGAGAACAGCCTGGCCAACATGGTGAAACCCCATCTCTACTAAAAATGCAAAAAATGAGCCAGGTATGGTGGCAAACGCTGTAATCCCAGCTACTTGGGAGGCTGGAGCACGAGAATCACTTGAACCAAGGAGGCGGAGGTTGCAGTGAGCCAAGATTACACCACTGCACTCCAGCCTGTGGGACAGAGCAAGACTCTGTCTCAAAAAACAAAAACAAAAACAAAAACAAAAAAAAAACAAAAAAAAAAGACTGGGTGCGGTGGCTCACACCTGTAATCCCAGCACTTTGGGAGGCTGAGGCAGGTGTATCACCTGAGGTCAGGAGTTTGAGACCAGCTGGGGTACCAACAGAGTGAAACCCCACCTTTACTAAAAAATACAAAAAATTAGCTGAGTGTGGTGGTGGGCACCTGTAATCCCAGCTACTAAGGAGGGTGAGGCACGAGAATCACTTGAATCTGAGAGGTGGAGGTTGCAGTGAGCTGAGATTGCACCATTGCACTGCAGCCTGGGCAACAAGAAAAAAAAAAAAAAAGAAAGAATGGAAAGCCAATGAAGGTTTCACAATAGATAACATGGTCAGACTCATGTATTAGAAAGATGTCCCTGTTGTGCTGAGTGGAGAATGAGAGGGAGGTGAGAGTGACAGGAAATGAACAAATGATAATGTGTTGCAGTAATCTAAGTGAGAGATGGGGACCTGAACTTGGGTAATATCAGGGGAGATGCAGGGAAGTGGCTAGATTAGAGAGAGATTTAGGGTTCAGGCTACTCATTAATTCGAATAAGAGAGAGAGGGGAAAGACAAAGATGATGGCCTAGTTTATGGCATGGATAGTTAGGTACATGGCAAAATTAGTTATCGGATTAGAGAATATATGAAAAGAAAGGGAGAAAAATGGTGAGTTCACTTCTGCATATATGTTCAGAGTTTGATGTGCCAGTGAGATATCTAAGTAGAGATCTCTAGCAGAAGTTGGATACCTAGGTCTATAGTTTAAAAGAAAAATCAGAGCTGAAGAAATAAAACTGTCAGCATATAGGAGTCAATGAGAAGGAATTTCTCAGGAAATATGTTGAACATATGAAATGATGGATTAGGAAAGAATCTGTGCCTTGGCAGTATCATGGGACTTTTTCAAACTAACTTTCTTCTCTTCAGAGCACCCCTACCCCATCCTTTTGATGCTCCCCACTGCTAGTGGCCTACCCAGTATTCATTCTCTCCTTCCAACTATATAGAAACTGATTTTATTTGGCAGGAAGGATGTTCAGCTATATAAGCTTGATTTCTCAACATATAGAGGTTTTTTTTTTTTTCAATTAAAATGATGATAAAAGATACACTTTTCTGCTCCTTATAATTTTCATCTAATATGTATATTTTTATAGTGAAATTTTATCTTTCTATATTTAATAGTTTTTTCAGTCTCTAAACTCTGAAGACTATAAAAATATTATTAGTGTTTTCTCTGCCAAAGCAATTAATAAGTTAAATCAGGATAACAACACAGAGAAAGACGGCCTGTAATTTTAGACACAGTTGTTAGGTAAGGCCTCTCTGCTAAGTTAACATTTAAGCAGAGACCTGAATGAAGTGAGGATATAAATCATGTAGATAGCTGGGGTACTAGTATCCTAGGCAGTGGAACAGTGAGTGCAAAAGTCCTAAAGTGGAAACATGCTTGTTGTGTTTGAAATATAAAGCAAGACTCAGTGTGACTGGGGAGAATGAGGGAGAGGCAAGTGGAAGGATATCCACCTACCCTCACATGGTTTTTCTTTTTTATAGCAGTTATCACCTTCTAACATGTATGTATACTATATAATATAAATTTACTTGTTATATCTATAGTGTATTGTTTCATATCATCCTATAGCACTGGTTTTTAAAAACTCTTTCTCAATGGACTACAGCAATAGAAATCAAACTTGTCTCTTTCCTTGGCCTTTTACTTTGTTCCTTCAGCCTTTCAATGAATCTTTCTAAACTGAGAATCTGATTTGGTCATACTGCAGCTTAAAACTCTTTAATGGCTCTTGACTGCTTATAATTTTAAGTATAGTATAAAGGGCTCCTCATGACCTAACCCCTCACCAGTAATCCAAACCCATCTCCTACATCTAGGGCCAGCCATACCAAATATTTATAGTATACTCACGCTTTTAAAACTTTTCTACAAAAGTACTCCTAATAGCAAAGGAAGGATGACTTATTCCCGATGGACAAAGATGGGAGAGGGACACTGAAAACACAAACTTCTTTGAAGTTTCCTATTTCATCCTATAAATTCATGTAGTCATTGTAGTCAATTCTATAACATATTTATATTTGTTTTAACTTTAAAAAGTTTAATCCCAGCTGGGCATGATGGCAGGGGCCTGTAATCCCATCACTTTGGGATGTCAAAGCGGGCAGATCACTTGAGGTCAGAAGTTTGAGACCAGCCTGGCCAACATGGTAAAACCCTGTCTCTACTGAAAATACAAAAATTAGGCCAGGTGCCGTGACTCACGCCTGTAATCCGAGCACTCTGGAAGGCTGAGGTGGGCGGATCACTTGAAGTCAGGAGTTCAAGACCAGCCTGGCCAACATAGTGAAACCCCATCTCTACTAAAAATACAAAAATTAGTTGGCATGTTGGTGCACGCCTGTAGTCCCAGCTACTTGGGAGGCTGAGGCACAAGAATAACTTGAACCCAGGAGGCAGAGGTTGCAGTGAGCTGAGATCATACCACTGCACTCCAGCCTGGGGTGGCAGAGTGAGACTCTGTCTCAAAAAAAAAAAAAAGAAGAAGAAGAAGAAGAAAGAAGAAGAGGGAGAGGGAGAGGAAGAGGAAGAGGAAGAGGAAGGAGAAGGAGAAGAAGAAAGAAGAGGAAGAGAAGAAGAAGAAAAGAATAAGAAGGAAGAAGAAGAAGAAAGGAGGAAGGAGGAGGAAGAAGGAGGAAGAAGAAGAAGAAGAAGAAGAAAGAAGAAAGAAGAAAGAAGGAAGAAAGAAGAAGGAAGAAAGAAGAAAAGTTTAATCCCTACAATATAGTTGAATAAAATAAATGTTCTAGGAAAACAGGCATGTTCAGATGCAGCCAGTGATTTTGTAAACACCTCAGCATGCTACCACAAATCCCTGGGTGAACTTGTACTCCTGTTTCATGTGCAAAAGTTACCAATCCACACTTCTGTACCTTAACACAGGGGTCCCTAAACCCCCAGACTGGTACAGGTCTGCAGCCTGTTAGGAACTGGGCTGCACAGCAGGAGATGAGCTGCAGCCAAGTGAGCATTATCGCCTGAGCTCGGCCTCTTACTAAATCAGCAGTGGCATTAGATTCTCACAGAAGCACAAACCGTATTGTGAACTGCACATACAAGGGATCTAAGTTATATGCTTCTTATGAGAATCTAATGCCTGATGATATGAGGTGGAACAGTTTCATCCCCAAACCATCCCCTGGCTGTTCATGGAAAAACTGTCTTCTATGAAATGGGTCTGTGGTGCCAAAAAGGTTGGCGACTGCTGCCTTAACACGCGGTTCTCTATGGATGGAGTAGCCTTTCTCCACTTCTCTACATGTGACATCTTGTTCATCTTCAAGACTCTCCTGAAGCCTCTCTATGAGTCATCTGAGCAGACAAAGCAAACCCTTGTCTATATTACCGCTGCTTTTACATATTTATCATAAGACTTATACACTGCAATTATTGATTAGACAATGATCTTCTTGAGATTAGTGGCCATATCTTATTTGACTATGTATATTAATGTTAGTTAACATTTATTGAGTATTTATTATGTGACAAGGGTTTTATATGCATTATTTTATTCAATCCTCAAACTTAGGAGGTTATTATAGAGACAGGGTGCAGGTTCCTTGAGGGCAGGGCTTATTATTTTATTCACTAGTGTATGTATCTCTTGTGCCTAGTAAAGCACCTGGCACACTGAAGGCACTTAAAAAGGGTTTGTTGAGGCTGGACATGGTGGCTCACACCTGTAATCCCACCTGGGCTTCACTGATACAGAGGCTGAGGCAAGCAGATTGCTTGAGCTCAGGAGTTTGAGAATAGCTGGGCAACATGGCAAAACCCGTCTCTACAAAAGATGCAAAAGAACCTGCTGTAGTGGTATGTCCTGTAATCCCAGCTACTTGGGAGGCTGAGGTAGGAAGATTGCTTGAGCCAAGGAGGTCAAGGCTGTAGTGAGCTGTGATGGAGCCACTGCATTCATTACCTGAGTGACAGGGCAAGGCCCTATTTAAAAAATAAATAAATAAATAAAAAGGTGGGGAGATTGTTGAACAATGAGGAAACCAAAGCTCAAAGAAATTAACTAACTTGTCTAGGGTGTACAGCTAGTAAGTGGAGGAGACTAGATTTTAAATCCAGGCCGGCTTGACTGTATGTAGATCATAGTCTTTGCTTTGCTGCCTCTCTGCCTCCAAATTCCAGCTCAGAATTTGGTACAGAGAAGACAGACAGAAGACATCTGTTGAATGAATGAATGTATTTTACCTTTAGATTACTTATTTGCTTCACCCTAGCATTCTCTTATTTCTTCATTTCTCTATCCTGATTTTTAATCTCTAGGCCTAGGACACAAGCCACAGTGGGCATGGGTAGACCTAGTTTTCATCCTGCTTATCAGTAAATATTACTGCTATACATGGAGAAGAAAATATTTATTACTGGAAAAACACATGGATATTGCACTAGGGGTAGTTACATTAAGAGTTGTTTTTTTATTACATAGTGTCAAACAGTTCTAAAACACAAAATGAAAAATAGACGGTCATAAAACTTGTAAAAATTAACCCAGAATTTCCAAATTTTATATTTTTGTGGTCATGATTTTTCTTAGTAAAGGTAAACAAGTTTATAAAAAGTATTTATACAAATTAACTTCATTTATTATTTATCATTATTTTAAGACATAGAGTCTCACTATATTGCCTGGGCTGGAGTACAGTGACACAATCATAGTTCACTACAGCCTCAAACTCTTGGGCTCAAGGGATCCTCCCGCCTCAGCTTCATGAATAGCTAGGAGTACAGGCATGTTCCATCATGCCCAATTAATTTCTTCTTCTCTCTTTTTTTTTTTTTTTTTTTGGCTATGTTGCCCTCGTTAGTCTTGAACTCCTGGCTTTAAGCATTCTTTCCACCTCAGCCTCCCAGAGCACTGTTATAGGCATAAACCACTGTGCCTGGCCAACTTTGTTTTTTATACTGTTAATAAAACTTTCCAAATAAAAGAATAATTACATGCTGGCATCATTTCAAGTTACAATAAACAAGAAAGTGATGTCTTTTCTTTTCTTTTCTTGAGACAGTGTCTCATTCTGTCACCAAGGCTGGAGTGCAGTGGCGCAATCCTGGCTCACTGCAACCTCCACCTCCTGGGTTCAAGCGATTCTCCTGCTCAGCCTCCCGAGTAGCTGGGATTACAGGCATATGCTGCTACACCCAGCTAATTTTTGTATTTTTAGTAAAGACGGGGTTTCACCATGTTGGCCAGGCTGGTCTCGGACTCCTGACCTCAAGTGATCTGCCCGCCTTGGCCTCCCAAAGTGCTGGGATTACAGGTGTGAGCCACTGTGCCTGGCCGTGATCATTTCTTTTCTATAGCATTTACTTTAGTTCATCTACCTGCAGCTGACCTGTAGAAAAGCAAATCATAATAATGTGGTTATAGAATACATTTCAATAACCAGGTTCCAGTTAGATGATTATAGTATAGCTTGAATTGTAAAAGTTATAAGAACATTAGTAAATGTTTATATAAGCACGAAATACTTTAAAACTCTGGCACTTCTGCAGAGTGTGCTTATTTATTCATTTTTGTTTGCTAGTTTGTTAAAAGAATGGTGAAAAGGAGTCAGACAAATTTAGGTTATAATCCTGGCTCTCCCTCTTAATAACTGTGTCACCCTAGGGCAAATTACTTAATATTTCTGAGTTCATTTTCCTTGAAATTTATATAATTCCCAATTAGTAGGACTATTGGTGAGATTAAAAGTCTGTGTAGTAATGAGCATAGTACCAGGCACACGGCAGCACTCAAAGACCTGTTTCTTTATTTCACTCTGGTTTCATAATGGCATGCACTTAAATCACTATTTCCTACAATAAAGTTTCCTATGTCTGCTTCCTTCAATGTAAATCACCTCCCATGTCAAAAAACGCATTAAAATATATTAGGGGGAAAATATTCAAGGAATTTTCGGTCTGTCTTTTCTAGATGTCATAAAAAGGCTTACGTGTATGTGCATAATGCTTCCTGTTCTTTCTGCTTATAATAGCAATGTTGCATCTGTTGCATTACTGAATACCAACAGCCAGCTGGACCTGTGCATTGACTATCCCAGGTATATTCCTGTTACTTACACTTGGGTCCTGTAGGCATTTGACTTTGTAACCTCTCTTTTAAAAACTGAACTTACTTAGAACATCTACCATTTCATTTAAAAAATTTTTATCTGCATATCATTTCTTAAGACAAGGAAATCACAAGGCAGGCATGTATTATTAAACAATCTAGTGTGTAATAATTTACAAAAAATTACCTGATGGAATATCGGCTCTTTTACCTTAAGGTAAACCTGCAAAATATTAGAAAAAAACACATGTGAATGAAGTACATTATGAAGGGGGAAAAACCTATTCCAACTACTCTGTAAATCCCAAACCTCTCCTGCTTTCCCCATCCTACTTAGATTTGGATCCAGCCATGTAAAAGCAATCAGATCAAGTGGCATGCCACAGTGGGGCTAATATTTATAGGTAGACCTTAGTGCTGGCCCTGCTATGGTCAGTAGAGTGTTTTAGATCTGTTGTGGACTACTCCAGACTCTGCATCAGTATCAAAGAGGGATAAGGATACAGGATACTCATGAGGAGTGAAGAGGTTATGCTGACAATCCCTATAGCAGACCTGTTCTACAACAGAGACAACACCAGACTGAGAGATAGGAGTAAATTTCAAACTCTGCCACTTACTTGCTACAAGCCTTGGGCAAGTTATTTAACTAAAAGATTCATTTTTTTCTCATCTGGATAATGAAGAATAATAGTGGTGAGGAATGATAAGCTAAAATACCTGAAAGTGTCTAGCACACAGTAGGCGTTCAGTAAGTAAAGACATTTAAAGCAAATTTATTGTGCTTTCTTATGCTTCCAGAAATCTCTAACTAACCTTTCTAGATGTATTCACAGTTACACAGACCCTAGTTGTAGGTTCCAATGTCATGTGGATGATTAAGCTCAATGCCTACTCAAGATCTAACATGCATGTACTGCCCTGCAGGGACACAATTTTTAAATGTGTACATTTAAAAATTATGGTACAGGGGAATCAAAATTCAAGTCATAACCCTGCTATGACTCTCATCACTTGCAAGACAAAGTTTACATTTCTTAGCCTAACATTCAAATCCTTCCATGACTCCTGCCTTTCTGTTTGGTCTCACTACTGTTTTCTTGTCTCCTCCTCATCCACGATTCCAGAAAGTACTGTGCTTCCTCAAATGTGCTAGTTTCATGCTTCCATATCTTTAAACATGCTGCTCTCTGCTTTGTTCAGAAATCCTTCTCTACTCATTACTCATCTTTTAGGATTCAACCAAAACTATACCTCCTTCTTGAAGCCTTTTCTGATCCTTTCTCTATACAGCAGAAGCCATTCACACTCCTTTCTACCATTACTCTTCATGTATAAACTTTGTGGCATTTAACAGTTTGTTTCTCTCCCTACGAGACTATAATATCTTTGATAGTAAGTACTGGATTTAGATATTTCTACATCCTCATTTAATGTGGCAATTTCATAAAATTTTATATAATTTTATTATTTGGCTATAAAATTTCTTACTCCTGGAGGAAGCTTCTACCATCAGTACAAAATAAACAAAAACCCAGATTATTTCCTTTAAACACTATGAGCTTTATTAGTATGATGTGCATGAGACATTATATATCTGTAACTCTAAACCCAGTAGGGAGAATGCTTTTAATCTCTGAAATTTCTTATTTCAAAATTTCCATTCATATAGGTAATGCTATCAGATTCCCATTGTTACCAATAAAAGAAATGCAAAAGGACATGCCTCTTAAAGACATTTTTTTAAGGCAAACAATTATGGAGTCCTTAGTATGTGTTAGGTATTAATTTTCACAACTAACATAAAATATATACTATTATTTTCTTCATTTAACAGATGAAGGAAACTAAAGCTGAGAGAGATTAAGTAATTTGCAGGGTCTCAAAGTTTCTAAGTAACCTGCATCCAAACTTAGATCTGATTTTAAAGTCTGTCTCTGCCACCAATTCTCTATATAAACTTGACTGGCCAGGCAAGTCACTGACAATCTCTGGACTTGATTCTCTTCTTTCATATCATAACAAGACTTCATTTCACCTCTGAAATTCTACAATTCTTTAATGATTAGCCAATATGTAGTTGATGTGGTTTGACTGTGTGCAGACCCAAAATCTCATCTTGAATTGTAATCTAAATTGTAATCCCCACGGGTTGGGGGAGGGACTTTGTGGGAGGTGAATATATCATGGGGGTGGTTCCCCCATGCTGTTATCATAGTGAATGAGTTCTCATGAGATCTGATGGTTTTATAAGGAGCTTCTTCCCCCTTCACTCTGCACTTCTCTCTCCTGCCACTATGTGAAGGACATGTTTGCTTCACCTTCCACGATGACTGTTAAGTTTTCTGAGGCCTCTCCAGCCATGCGGAACTGAGTCAATTAAACTTCCTTCTTCCTTCCTTTATAAATTACTCAGTCTTGGGTTTTTTTTTTTGGTTTGTTTGTTTTTGTTTTGAGACAGAGTCTCCTTCTTTTACCCAGGCTGGAGTGCAGTGGTATGACCTTGGCTCACTGCAATCTCTGCCTCCCGGTTTCAAGCGATTCTCCTGCCTCAGCCTCCTGAGTAGCTGGGATTACAGGCATGTGCCACCACACCTGGCTAATTTTTTTTTTTTTTTTTTTTTTTTTTAGTAGAGACGGGGTTTCACCATGTTGGTCAGGCTGGTCTTGAACTCCTGACCTCACAATCTGCCCGCCTCAATCTCCCAAAGTGCTAGGATTACAGGCATGAGCCACTGTACCTGGCCTTGGATATTTCTTTACAGCAGCATGAGAATGGACTACTTGTTCTCAGTCTCTTTTGCTAGCTCCATTTCTTCCACCTAGTCCCCAAATGTAAGCATTTCATTAGGTTGTACTTTTAGTCTTTGTTTTGAGACAGGGTCTCGCTCTGTCACCCAGGCCAGAGTGCAGCGGCACAATCATGGCTCACTGAAGCCTTGACCTCCTGAGCTCAAGTGATCCTCTCACCTCAGTTTCCTGAGTAGCTGGGACTATAGGTACATGCCACTACATCTGGCTAATTTTTAAAAAAATTTTTTGTAGAGATGAGGTCTCACTATGCTGCCCAGCTGGTCTTGAACTCCTGGGCTCAAGCAATCCTCCCATGTAGGCCTCCCAAAGTGCTGGGATTACAGGTGTGAGCCACTGTGCCTGACCCCTTTAGTCATCTTAATGGTCCATGCTACTTTTTCAGGTCATCTATTCTCACATTTTTAGTACAATTCCCAAATCTACGTCTTTAGTCCAGCTTAACTGTTAGGCCTCAGATGTCATTAATGTCAGGCTCCTCAATCTTAACACATTTCAAATTGAATTTATCTCTACCCTTACCCCTGGTGCAAACATACTTATTATCTATCCTACAGAAGAGGTTCATCCTCCAAGTTTCCTGTTTTGATTAAGGACATGCTATCTATCCTGACAACCAGGTCAGGAGTCATTCTAGACAACTCCTTTTTACTCTACTTTCACCCCATCTACTATAAAGTGGGTCACATGTCCTGCAGTTTGTTATTTATGACAGTTTCTTTTCAACCCCACAGCTATATTACTTTCACCTGAGTCTCATATCTTACTAAAGCAAATACAAAAGTCCGTGGGTCTAGCCTCATACTCCTCTAATCCAGCCTCCATAACCAGAGCAATCTTTCTAAAACACGTATCTGAATACGTTTTTTCTTTAAACCAGTTCATGGCTCCACACTACTTTTTCTTTTTTTTTTTCTTGAGACAGAGTCTTGCTCTGCTGCCTAGGCTGGAGTGCAGTGGCAGAATCTCAGCTCACTGCAGCCTCTGTCTCTTGGGTTCAAGCAATTCTCCTACCTCAGCCTCCTGAGTAGCTGGGATTACAGGGGCATGCCAACACACCCAGCTAATTTTTCCATTTTTAGTACAGACAGGTTTCACCATGTTGGCCAGCCTAGTCACAAACTCCTGACCTCAAGTGATCTGTCCGCCTTGGACTCCTAAAGTGCTGGGATTATAGGAGGGAGCCACCCTGCCTAGTGGCTCCACACTACTTTGAGGATAAAAATTTGCTTAAACAAGTCATACAAGCATATTATAATCTGACATTTGTCTAATTCTATAGACTCATTCACTGCTCTTCCATTACCATTTGTTCCAGCCATATTAAATCTTGCCCAATTCTACCAGTGGTGATGATTTAATGAGACAATAAAGGTACAGTACTTTGTTACAATATCTGGCATATAGTAAGTGATTAAAAATGGTAGTTTACTATGTTGTTCCAAAGTTCTCTACCTATGAACAAACAATAGTGTTATCTACAAATGTTTTACCACACTCTTGCCCAGGGGCCTGATGAACTCCTAATCATCAGTTAAATTCTAGTTCAAGTGCCTCCTCTCGGAAGCTTTCCTTGACACATGCATGCAGCCTTGATTGAACCACCTTTATCTCATCATTGTATGAGTAGTTTTTATCTCTATTATTGTAATTATTATTTTTGATGCAATTTTTTGTGTACATGCTTAAATTCTCTAATAGAATGAGCTCCTCACAGATAAGCAACTGCTTTTTAATCATCTCTGTATTTCTAGTGCCTGACATGGTAGGTTTGCAATATATGCTTGTTGAAATAAATATTTTCACAATATAAAATGCAATTTACTTGAGGGAAAAAAGCATTAATGTAGGACTAGAAGTGACTAGCTGTCTCAACTTATTAGGGAAAAGTTAACCATTAAAATGATCACATTAGGACCAATGGAACTGAGCCAATCTATCATTTTTAACAGATGTGTCCATCTATGAGAAAAGTTAATTTTCCCCATTGCTACTAAATATTTGCTTTTTTTCTTTCTCTCTTTAAAAACTAAAAAGATTTTTAAACGGTATTTCAATTACAGTGAGAAATAACATTTGAACAGGGAACAAGGCAGCAATATTTGTCAGTGTGATATTCTAGTTTTGTATAGAAAGATTTCAGTTTGACATCATGAAGCAAATACTGAAAGTAAAATATGCCAGACTCCATAAATGGCAAATTTACATGCTTATTAATCTGTTAGAAACAAAATATGACTTACTGTGGTTACTATTAAACTGAATAGAACTAAGGTAAAAAGCAGATGGTAGTTTACTGAGTTCTTGATCTTGAAACATTCAAACCTTGAAAAAAAGAAAGAAACTTTTAAAAGAATATATAAGTAGGAACATAAATAGAATGCTGCTTTACCACTTGCCTGTATCTCTTGATGATCAGGTGATACCAATCATTTCTTTCCACTCATATCCTTTCTTTCCACTCAGATTCTTAGAAAACCTGTACTGCCTATTATCCTCTAAGAAGCTGGAAGGACTAGGAGTAGACACATGACTTAAACTGGGACAATGAAAGGCTCTCACCTGAAAGTGTGGAGTTTGGGAGCTAAGACTGAATCAATTCAGTATAGAGAGTCAGCTGGGCACAGTGGCCCATGCCTGTAATTCTAGAACTTTGGGACGCCAATGCAGAAGGATCACTTGAGCACAAGAGTTCGAGACCAGCCTGGGCAACAAAGTGAGACCTTGTGTCTACAAAAAAATAAAATAATTAGTGGGCATGGTGATGCATGCTTCTAGTCCCAGCTACTTGGGAGGCTGAGGTGGGAGGAGAGTTTGAGCCTGGGAGATAGAGGCTCCTGCCTGGGTGAAGAGCAAGACCCAGTTTCCAAAAAAAAAAAAAAAAGCAAAAGCAAAAACACTATAGCGAGTCAAAGTCATATGGACTCAAGGTCTGAGGCTGATATTGGAGACAGCCAAATTGAATGAACAAGTAAATGAATAGGCAGAACTAATTTGCAGGGAGAGAAAAATATAGCAGATACAAAGACGTGAAGCCACGTGGAGAGGAAGGAATGGCAAAAAGAGGAGGAAAGAACCTGCCCTTCCAGTTCTAGTAAGGTGGGGCTGTACTTCCTGCTATTGGGTTCCATATAATTTCCTCATATCCTTACAGTAAATAATCTCTCCTAATTCAAGCTAGCTTGAATAGGTTTCTATATCTTGGAACTAATGATTCCTAAGAAACATTGTAGAAAATACCAATCTATTATCATTGTCTCTTTCCTTATCAGTCTCCCCAACTAGCCTGTGAATTCCTTGTGTGCAGGAATAAATCTTATTTTTTTCATATATCTAGCACAAAGATAGTGCTTGATACGTAGGAGGCATGTGGTAAATAAGGAATTATGAACAAACAGTTGGCATCAGTGAGTATCCAATCCAACGTTTGAGTACTATGGTATAGGCAGGAAGAGTGTTCTCTCAATTTACTAATTGGCTGTGGGAATTGGTCCAACTCTTATTTTCTTATTTGTAAGGAAAGGTTGTTAGAACAGGCATTTTCTAAGATCTCTTTTACTTTTTTTTTGTGACTTGGACAATGATAAAAATATTAGGTGAAATATTAGTTTTTACGTTTAAACTCTATTATTCCAAATTCTTAAGCAAGTTATCTGTTAAGAAACCAAAGGTCTTTAGGAGGCCTGGCTTGTATTTATTACCATGGTTATTTCACTTTATTACATATAGTCACTTTCTTATCTGTCCCCTTTGTCAGACAATGAGTTCCTTGACTCTGTATCTACAGAGACCAGGATCATGCCTAAAATAAAGAAGGTTTTCCAGTACATGTTTCACAAATGAACAAGCATAAGCACACAGAAGGCAAGACAGATTTAAAAATCATTAGATGGCTTCGCATATTTGATATGTTCAAAGAATATCCTAAGGAATCAACAGAAAAATGAATAAGTTAGCAAGGTCATGGGATAAGAGGTCAATACACAAAAATCACTTGTATTTCTAAATGCTGGCTACAAACAACTGGAAAAGAAATCTTTTAAAAAGCAATACTATGGTAGAGTGTGGTGGCTCATGCCTGTAATTCCAGCACTTTGGGAAGCCGAGGCAGGCAGATTGCTTGAGGTCAGGAGTTTGAGACCAGACTGGGCAACATGGCGAAATCCTATTTCTACAAAAGTTCAGAAATTAGCTGGGCATGGTGGAGTGCACCTGTAGTCCCAGCTATTTAGGAGGCTGAGAAAGGAGGATAGCTTGAGCTTGGGATGAGGAGGTTGTAGTGAGCCGAGATGGGGCCAATGCACTCCACCCTGGGTGAGAGCTAGACCCCATGTCAAAGGAAAAAAGAAGCAATACTATTGAAAATAGCATCCTAATCATGAAAAACATAGAGTTAAATTTAACAAAGATCTATTAACTGAATCACAAAACATCACTGAAAAAAATTAAAGAAAACTAAATAAATGGAGAAATATACCACATTCATGGTTTGGAAGACTTAGTATTTTATGGTATTAACTGTCCTCGAACTGGTCTATAGAGTCAATGAAATTATAATCAACCTTCCAGCAGGCTATTTTGTAGACATTGACAAGCTGACTCTAAAATTTATGTGGAAATGCAAAGGACCTAAAATTTCCAAATCTATATTGCAAAAGAACAAAATTGGAGGACTTACTCTAACTGACTTCCAGATTTGCAATAAAGCTACTGTAACTAGACAGTATGAGGATACATGTAATGATCAATAAAATAAAACAGAAAAAAAGTATCAAGATAATGCAGAAAGAATAATATTCTCGAAAGATGGTTCTGGAATAACCAGATACTAGTAAGGAAAACATGATCTTTGACAAAATAAACTCAAAATGGATCATGGACCTAAATGTAAAATAAACACACCAAATATCTTTGATCTTGGGAAGGCAAAGATCTCTTAGCACACAAAAACACTGTTCATAAACATTTAAAAAATAAATTGAATTTCATAACAATGTAAACTTCTGTTCTTCAAAAGACAATAAATGAAAAGACAAGTCACAGACTGGAAAAACATTTAAAATATGAACATCTGACAGGACTTGGACCCAAAATACATAAATAATTTTTACAATTCAATAGGAGAAAAAGCTAGTTTATAAAAATGGGGAAAAGTTTTTAATAGATAGCTGTTAACACATACAAATGGACAATTAGCATATAAAAAGATGCACATCATCATTAGTCACTAAGAAAATACAAACTAAATCACTACAGAGATAGTATATTGTACTCACTAGAATGACTAAAATAGAAAAGACTGATAATACAAAGTCTTGGCCAGGATATGGAGCAAATGGAACTTTCATATATTGCCAGTGGAACCATAATAAGGTACAACTAAATTGAAAAACAGTGTGGCAGTTTCCTATAAAGTAAAACATATACTTACCATATAACACAGAAATTCCACTTCCAGGTATTTACCCAAGAGAAATGAAGACATACATCCATATAAAGACTTGTTAACAGATGCACATAGTCCTTTTGTTCATAGTAGCCCCAAACTGGCAACAACCTTAATGTTCAATATTGGTAAGCGGTGTAATCATATAATGGAATACTACTAATAATATATGTAACAACATAGATGAATATATTCATCAAAAGTAACTGGCAGATTAGTGCCCTCAAAAAATATTATACTGAATAAAAGAATCTGGTTACAAAAGTGTACATATTGTATAATTTTTTTTATATAAAATTCCAGAGCAAACAAACTAATCTATAATTATAGAAAGCAGATTGGTGGTGGCCTGGAGCCCAGGGTAGGAGTCAGTATTAACTGTAATGGGTCAGAAAAGAATGTTCTAAAGTGACAGAATGTTCTGTTTCTCTTTTTTGACATAAAGATAATGGGGACACAGGAGTATACATTTGTCAAAACTCATCAAACCATACACTTAAACTGGGTGCATTTTATTACATGTAAACTATGTGTCAATACAATGGATTAAAAATTATTTCAACCTTTCATTTCCTTCTAAGTGTCACTAAAAGTGTACTATAGTAGGTTCTTTCTGAATGGGGGGAATATCAGCATAAACAGATAATGCAGAAGATTGCTGACAAAAGATTAGAATCCACAGACGCAGTCTTTGAGAAACAAACGCTTTGCATGCTTTTTTTGTATATTCCTTTTTAGACTCTGAGGTGGTAGCAACGATGAAACTTATGTTTTATTCTGTTTTATTCACTATGACAGTCAGGACACCATGCTCCATTTTCATATAATGGCAAGCTCTATCCTTTTCTACTCCACTCAACTTTGTATGTCTCAGGTCTAGTTTTTTCTTTTTCTTTTTTTTTTTTTTTGAGACGGAGTTTCGCTCTTGTTACCCAGGCTGGAGTGCAATGGCGCGATCTCAGCTCACCGCAACCTCCACCTCCTAGGTTCAGGCAATTCTCCTGCCTCAACCCCCTGAGTAGCTGGGATTACAGGCACGCGCCACCATGCCCAGCTAATTTTTTGTATTTTTAGTAGAGACGGGGTTTCACCATGTTGACCAGGTTGGTCTCGATCTCTTGACCTTGTGATCCACCCGCCTCGGCCTCCCAAAGTGCTGGGATTACAGGCGTGAGCCACCGCGTCCGGCTTCAGGTATAGTATTAATCATATCACATGAAAGCTGCTTGTTTCTGTTCTGTTTCCTTTACTAAACTACAAATTTCTTGAGGTAAAAGGACTACTTCTTACTTAATTTCCCAATCCCAGTGCCTATCACAGTGCATGATACATGAATAACTTACAGTGTTTGTTTTATAAACAAATAAATCATTTATTTTAATCTTCATGGGAAATTTATAAGTACTATAACCTCCACTTTTACAAGTGAAGGAACAAAGATTAAGTGACTCACTTAATTAAGCTCATTCAGTTAATAAATATCAGAGCTGAAAATTGAACTATAGCATCAGTATCCTTATCTTCTAAGTAATATCTGCTGTTCCCTAGCACTAAAACCCTTTTTTTTTAGACAGGGTTTTGCTCTATCCCCCAGGCTAGAGGGCAGTGGCAGCACAATCACAGCTCATTGCAACCTCGACCTCCTGGGCTCAGGCAATCCTCCTGCCTTAGCCTCCTGTATAGCTGGGACTACAGGTGTGCACCACCATGCAAGCTAATTTTTAAATTTTTTTTAAGAAACAGGGTTTCACTATATTGCCCAGGCTTGTCTTGAACTCCTGGGCTCAAGCAGTCCTCCTGCCTTAGCCTCCCAAAGTGTTGGTATTACAGATGTGAGCAAATGCGCCTGGCTCCTAGCACTAACACTTAAGAGTTCTTT